TAAATAAGGTATCAACTAAGCCACCATCAATTGGTTTATGTGCTTCTCATAATATATAAGCTATATAAAAAGGAATGTTTGAATCTCAATAACTAGAAAAGAAAAGGAAATTAATTTTTCTACTACTCTACATGTAAAAAAAAAAGTAGAAATATAGTAAAAGCTTTGGTTTTATTTCATTTTTCTCCCTTCAAAAGTATATTTTTAAACAAAATCCTGCGCATGGGTCACCACTAGTATCTACATATTTTACTCATATAATAAGATTTTAATCATATTTAAAGTCAATTAATTTAAAATGATCATTTTATTTTCCATCCAACCCAAAAAATGCATTTATGGAATAAAGAGTGAGTTAAATAAAATTGGATAGCAATAGAACCCATTCATGGATCTATTTGGATCTGAATCCAGATGTAGTAATTGATCCAAAATAATAATAATAATAATAATAATAATAATAATCCAGATTTAGTAAGATGGTAAGGTCTACAACTTTTTGGATCTTGACCCTTTTTGAATCTCAATAACTAGAAAAGAAAAGGAAATTAATTTTTCTACCATTCTACATGTAAAAAAAAGTATAAATATATTAAAAACTTTGATGAATCAGTTTTATTTCATTTTTCTCCCTTCAAAAGTATATTTTAAACAAAATCCTGTGCATGGGTCACCGCTAGTATTTACATATTTTACTCATATAATAAGATTTTAATTATATTTAAAGTCAATTAATTTAAAATGATCATTTTATCTTCCATCCAACCCAAAAAATGCATTTATGGAATAAAGAGTGAGTTAAATAAAATTGACTAGCAATAGAACCCATTCATGGATCTATTTGGATCTGAATCCAGATGATGTAGTAATTGATCCAAAAATAATAATAATCCAGATCTAGTAAGATGGTAAGATATACAACTTTTTGGATCTTGACCCTTTTAATTTTTTTTTTTAATTTTTAAAAATAAAGGACATTAAAAGTGGGACTATTTATACTCACCCACAACTGATTTGGTTTTCTTTTTATTTAGAAACTGAATTTTATCACTACCCTTGGGACATATGGGATGTCTTCTAACACAAACATGYACATCACTGTCTTCTTTACCACTAATCACTCTGCAATTCAGTCCTGTTCCTGCATGATAGTGGTCACATATGGAATGGGATTTATTACAAGGTCAGGACAGCTGTTACCTTTTGATTGGGTTAGCTAAAAGAGAAGCAGCAGAAGGTTAGTAGCAGATCTGGACTCAAGTTCATATGTGAGCATGAGAGAAAGAGAGATAATGATGATAATTTAATTGTTTAAATTGTATACCTTTCTGTATTTGCCAAATAGGAGTTCTATAAACAACGGGAAAGAGAAAACCAATTTCAGTTAAATAGCCAAAAGAAAACAGAGAAAAAGAAAGAAGCAAAATAACAATTGACCTTAGTGTGAAACATACAGAGATTCTTTTCCTTCATACTCAAACAGACTTGGAGACTGACTTTAGCGCTTTCAAGATCACATCAGCTGTTGCTCCACTGTTTGTGTGGGTGACAAGAGGGCTCTCCCCTGGAACTATGTCATCTTTCAGGTAGCTTCCTGTTGTTCTTACTAATTCCTCAGATCCTTTCTCTACTAGTCCTTTCATAATCACTGTCTTGTGGGTTCCAGATATCAGTTCTTCATAATCAGTGTCACCCGTTTCACCAAGAATAACATACATGTTTGCAACATTCAATCCCCAACGAACAAAGAGGTACCTATTGATTTATCACAAACCAAGAAGGAAACACAGTACAGRGATGTATATACATTTAGTGGATACAAATTTCATATTCTTCTATTACCATTTACCAGGCTACTAGACAAACAATAGAGTTCCTTTTACTTGATTTATTTGAGGAATGGTGGTCTGCATCTGAGTAAGTTCAATCACAAAAATGACAAAAGTTAAACAAGGGTATTACGCTAGTTAGAAATGATAGAGAAACAAGACATGAGTCACATCACATGACAAACACCCTGTAAACTATATCATGGTATTTTGCAAGTTCTGAACCCTTGACACCATGAACCTGTAACCAACTACATCTAATCTTGTTATGGCTCAACAAACCATTAATCTGGAGCCTCAACAGTAAGGATGGCAATGGTCCCTATATTTGCCCAACCCAGAACTAGAATCTCTACTTTGATATCTAAATTATTTGGTATTTTTCATTGAGTGGTTATTATGACATAATACTTAGAAACATATTTTGGTTCCTTTACGAGTAACCCTACAAAGGCTGATTTGTACATGTAAAAGCTAATGATAGAATGCAAGTCACCAAATATCTAAGCATATAATTGAATGCATGTATGTACCTTAATGCTTGAGATCGAGATGCAAGAAGAGGAACAATTTGCATTCTTGTTGAGTTCCTACAGTACATTGGATGGCACCGAAGYCCACGCATTCTCAGCTTTTGCCTCAGATCATCCACCCTCATTGCCTGAAAAGATCATTCACCATGAAAARCCATATAAATTACACTACTGATGCTTCATTAAAAGATTATATGTACCTTGCTGGAATCTTTCATTAAGTATGAGATGCAATGTGAAATGCTTGATTTCACATCTTCCTCAATTGGGCTTGAAGAATTGTGAGATTTATCCCCTCTGCTTTCTTGTGAATTCATTAGTTTCCAAATAGTCTTCTTTAGGCCTTCACAACCCCAACGGTAGTCAATATGGGAGGTGTAGTCTGGGTCTGGATACAACTTTCCATCATCTTCTCTATAAACACCTGGGTAGTACACTTCACTCCCACTGCTACATATCAGAGCATCAAATTCTGTCACCTGAATCCTCCCTAATTTCAAGAAGTCTATTGTCTCAGAAACTGGCATGGCTGTTGAAAAAGCAAATCCTGAGAATCTTGATATTTGGGAGTCTGACCGCACAGCCTTAAATATCTCCTGTACTGTCTGAAGCATCTTACTGTCAGCAACTCCATTGCAGTTATAGCAGTCAAGTGCTATTACAATTAACCTCCGCCTTCGTCTCAGGAGTGGATACTTGTTTGCCACATTCTCAGGATGTTTATTTCCATATTCAGTTTTATGTGGGTCTGATAATGGCTTCTTTATCTTACTTAGGATTCGTTTCACTTGATCTTGTACCTCAGGATCACCCTGGACTGCAGCCACTTTCTCTAATTCAGCAGGATCATTCTCCAAAGAGCCATTGAATGAAGACTTTTCCCCATCAACAGAAAGCCTCAAGGACATGTCCTGCACATCCTTGAGTGAATCTCCAAGGGACTCTTCTGCAGCCATGTCATCCATTGGGGTGTCAGTCTTCCATTGTGGATGCCTCATCCTACACGCTGCCACCCTTGTCAAGTAAGTTCGGCAATGTTCAGGCCATGAAAATAGGTGTATATTTTTCCATCCATTCTTCCTGCATTCATGCCATAGATTCTTTTCTGAAACTAGTTTAAGYAGTGCATCTGCAATAGCTTGTTGATCATGTGGGTCCACAAGCAACCCATTGTTCAGTGCCTAACCCAAAGGAATTAAAAAGAAACTGTCATTGAAGCAAAGTACATGATATCATACATATATCCTATTCTCATTGCACTTCATAGATTGACAACATGGAAAAACACTGGTTGCTATAAAACTGACCATGTGGTTAAATAAAGGGTTGATCAGAAATAAAGAGTAAAAAATAATAGAAATTTTAATGTAAGAGCAAAGTATTCAAAATTGTAATTTTTTTTTTCAAATTTTGTTGTGTATCATATATARCCTATTCTCATTGCACTTCATAGATTGACAACATGGAAAAACACTAGTTGCTATAAAACTGACCATGTGGTTAAATAAAGGGTTGATCAGAAATAAAGAGTA